TAAAGGTAAACACAACATATAATAAAAGACTTCCTTTAAGGAGAACAGTAACCTATAAAACTATCACTACAATAAAATAACAAAATTAAAGCAAACAAAAAAAAAAACCTAACTTATATAATGTATAAATGGAAAAAAGAGAGAAAGTAAAAAAAACTTTTAAAATGAAAAAATTATTTAGCTGTGTAATGTGTTAGTACCTTCCTCTTTAAAACATTAAAGCTATCAAAATGGATATCCACATCACAATTTTGAAATGTTGAGTTGAATGCATTCAACAAAGATGATAAAGGTGTGTTTCTGCCATATTCATTACGACTTTTTTTAATATGAAACGGTTTGTAGTTATGTAGACGTGCACTATTTCTTGGAACAGTGATACCGATATCAAGTAAGAGAGACCGACAGTCAATTTTAAAACTTAAGAGCTTGTGCAGGAAAGTTATACTTAATACATCCTTACGCCTTTCTAAAGGTATCATATGGTAATGCTCAAGTCTTTTCTTATAGCTATTAAAAGTGTGATAAGTCCCTTCGATGTAACTGAGTCTAGCTAACATTCTTTTTTGTACCTTTTCTATACGTTGTATATTATTTTGATAACTAGGATACCAAACAAAGGAACAGTAGTCTATATTGCTACAGATCAACGCGAAATAGAGGGCCTTTAAAGCTGGCATGGACTTAAATTCTGTAGTGTTACGTGAGATGAATGCTATTAATCTATTACACTTATTTATTGTGATATCAATATGACGTGTGAATAATATGATATAAGTATATTAATTTTTTATAAATATTATAGTATGAATTATCACATATTTAAATCTATCAGTCAGTGGCAGAGTCGGCATCCTTAACCGATGAGCATGAAGAAGCGAAAGAGGTGTGTCAGGATGGTGACAAATGGAAGTCCGTAGTCTCTGCCTGCCCCTCTATATGACAGGTGTTATTGTTAGGGCTTATTTATGTATTAAGTCTACAAGTATGCCATGTAGTGGCGGCGTAAGATAGTAGGGATTATCGTATCATTCCGTTGGTATCATAAGAGCCGAGAGAAAGAGAGAGAGAGAGAGAGATACTTAAATCAGTCCAAAATAACATAAAGCCGCGTCTCCACCAAAAATGTTGACAACATTTATGTTTCCAACTGTTGACAAATCAACAAAAGTTGCCAACATTTGTTTCCGAAAATGTTTTAAAATGTTCCAAGAAGCGTCTCCAGTCTCCACCGAGAGAATAAATGTTTCCAACAAGCGTATTCCTTTGATGTTGCCGCCGAAAATGGAAACACGGTTCCCGATATTGTTTCAAGATTTGTTGCCAACACTAGGTGATTACAGAAACATTTGTTGGCAACACGTGTTGGCAACTGTTGTGTTGGCAACAAAACTTTGGTGGTGACGCGGCTTAAAATGCGCTTGCCAACCCGCCAGCCAAGCATGGAAACTATGATAACAAATATCCTTCCTATGAAGCAATCTATAGGGAAGACGCCTATGTCTTATATAATAAAATGATAAATGAACATACTTAAAAATTGAAATAACATGGAATATGAAATAATCGCATGATATTTTATTATTAAAAAAAAAACATATATTTTAAATAAAATTTTCCAACTTTAATTTCCGCAAAGTAACGCCTGATTGTATTAATTATAACATATATTTATAAAAATATAAATAAGTAGTTAATTTTAAGTACTCAAGTACATTAGATAGATTCCACCCTCTTGCAGCTCTTTTGCCTATAAAATACGTTAATAGTTGTCCCTAAACAGCAGCGCATCTATTTTTGCGTTCTCGTTGAAAGGAAAAAGGAGTGAGTATCTTTACGAGCCTTAAGGAGTTCCATATTAGTCTTTTATGTGTGTCGTTTGCGATATTCCTGTGCTGTAGTAGCTAATAACTGAAGACTGCAAGCTCGTTTGTGACCCAAAAGTTGCAAAAATTTAGACAAGTTCAAGTTCATGGAATGCACAAATAGTGTTCAGTGTCGTTTTTTCAAATCGTATAATTAAGGCTTTACTCGTTTTTTTTTTAAAAATGGCTTAAAAACGAAACGACTGAATGACGTTATTTTTTATACTCTTTATTAAATATAAGTTGTAGTTTTATATATTATGAGTAATTTTCCTCTGATTGTAGCCAATATACGGCTACAGTCTTATTATTTTCCTTTGATAAAAACTTACTAGCTGGTACATGGCGCGTTGCTGCCACAGAAAAAAGAAATGTTGAAATATCGTTTTAAATTTGGAAGAGGGAACGATAATGTACATTCATTGAAGTTGAATAACGTACATATAACACTGAAATATGTTGGTATGATACGCGCGCCACCTACTGTAAGTTAACTACTAACTAACTATGCCTATAATCTTCACACAAGTGCAAGCAATGTGTTGACAAAGTTTTAGAGCAATCTGATGAACGGCATGACAGCGCATAAAATACGAATAAATAAAAAATAATTTTTATATATTAAATAATGCCGAGTGGTAGCCGATTTCGTCCTGGTGGTGGTGTAAAAGGTTACTACTACGGACAATGCCAGAGAGATCTTACGGTTTTCGATAGATGGCGGTATATACTTCTCGTTTACCTGCCAAGTATGGCGATTGAGTCAATAAATTCTTTCTATAGTGGGGGGAGGTCAATTTCTGGCTGTGAAATTTTAGAGGCCGATAAAATATAATGATAATCGTTAATAAATCATCAATCATCAATTCAAAGTAGACTACTGAACATAGGCCTTCTCAAAGAATGACTCTTATGGGGGGATACTTGCCATAGTTGCCACGTTTGGCAGGCAATATTTAATAAATTTATTAATTAATTAAATAAATCGTGTACTTTTATTACATGCAAGAAACGAATTTCAGTACAATATTTGCCGTTTTTGCAGTTGATATAATATGATGATGCTATATCCTTGCTTGCTTTTGGAGAAGTTTCCATAAGGAGAAATGCAATGGCAAATGGAAAGGCAATTCATAAACGCATAAGAAGTTTAATTGATATGTATTTTTTTATGCAATCACATGCGAAATATAAAATAATATTTCGATATCATACGATGTGATTCATTTCAACAAAAAAATAAAAAATAAGCCAGACGTTGAGTCATACTTTCACAATTTCCATAAATATTAATTCGAGGCTCTTCCATCCAGTTTAATGAAATCAGACGTCGATGAGGTATGTCAGACCGAACGATCTCGACTTTAATATATTCAACGTTTAAGAACCCTCATAAACAATATACATATGGAAACACTCTACATATTGTATATTTACCGATACTCAATAAATACGAAGACGAAACCACCCCATATAAAGCACCTGTCTATACGGGCCTATCTTAAACCTCCCTTAACGGCTCCCTCTGATAACTTAAAGACTTTATCCCCTGTACAGGAATTTTTACGGCAACAAAAGCCTTCATATTTTCTTTATTCATACCGTGTCAAAATCGCCTCTTTTCCCCTCCACCCTTCAGACGTTGGGAAAAGAGACAGTCGGCCAACTCTTTCACTCTCATTAAAATTTTTATATCCTCGTCTCGTTTCTTACCCTCCATTACGGTTTTATGTTTTTCTCGATATTCTTGGTGGAGAGTACTTAATGCCGTTTTTTTCGTCAAACCGTCAGCAACAGGGTGATTGCGCGAATTTCTTAATTAATTTATGTTAAGTATTTCGCGAGGGGTAACATCTTAAAGGGTGTTTATGAATTTCTTATGCAATACGAGTCGCATAATGACGTCGTTTTCGCGTTTTACGGCTTTTAATTTAGTGTTCATTCTCATCGGTACATTCGCTTTTATATTAAAAAGTTGGCTATATAATAAGAATTAATTATAAGATTAGAATATAGCGTTGGTTAATTGTTTTTTTTTTAAGAGAGATATAAAATGTAATTGGAATTAAACTCGGTGCTGCCAGAAATGAAGCTTTAAACAAATAATAAATACTGACATTCTTAACATCAACCTCTATATTAGTACGATATCGGCTCTGCCTAAAGGATGTCCCAGTAGGGAGCGGCTCCGTATTCAAAAAGGAAAAATCTGAACAAAAAAGTTATAACGTCATATTGTTTTGCCACGGAGCGAAGGAGGAGGGGAGGAGGCAACAAAAAGGGGGAGTCCTGTATAGTGCTGGGGAAAGATAAGGCGTTATAGCATTCTGTACATAGCTTCACTATAGATATGGTAGCACCATTGTACTTTACGAGTCGCCCTTTCGTATTTTTCATAGCGTCTTGGTAAAACGTCGGTATATATTTTGTCAGACTTATATTTTGTAGAACCCGTTTCTTTATTTTTTTTGTTCTGAATCAGTACAGATAAAAGTGTGTTGTTTAACTACTCTGTTTTTTTTTTACATTTACATATCTAAATGGTTAAAAGAAAAAAATGCATGATAAGGAGCCGTGGTAGCTCGAGGCTTAGCGCTCGCTGTAACTTTCATGGTAGACGAACAACCCGGGTTCGATCCCCGCCGGCACCAATGAAATTGTTAATTGCAATTTTAAGTACTTATTTACCACGTGTTCGGCGGTGAAGGATACGTTTGATAGATGGATTTTTTATGCATTATTCTATAAACTTTAATTAAAATCAAAATTAAATTAGTTAAAATATTTTTGTTGAAATTAGTATCTACAGTAAAGTAGTAATTGGAGTAGCAGTGGTAGCAACCATTAATTTTTAACATTCAGTGTGCAATTAATAACATATTACTTATGTAAGTTACGTTAATAAGGCGGGGAGAAGACGTACGTTCTCGATAATTTCCGTAACTATTTTTTATTGTAATTGTGTTTTAACAAATTGTTTAACAATGATATTGGTTACTTATTCAAATAAATCGAATAGCTGTTTAAATTAAGCTGGACAGCTGGAACCTAAATAAAGAAGCGACCTGTTTTGCTTCTTTATTGTTATTGTTTTAATTTTTGTTTAAAGCACATGCATATATTTATTGTACTTACACTGGGTATATTATCCGACGTGCATACGCCTTCACTGAGTAGACGATCCCGAATCTCCCAGGCGAAGATCGAAGGACACTCACGTTTGTACTGAGCGATCTTGCTCACGACCTCCGCAGTCGCGACCCTGGGCTTCGACCCACCGATGGCCCTTGGTCTGATAGAGCCGGTCTCATAGTACCTGAGAAAAGAAGGCTTTATGAAAAATACTCATTACGCTTGTTATGTTGACATTTCCTAACCACGTATATGTCAAAGAGCGTCTGAATTTGCAGTATATAAAGTATAAACATGTCTTATGCCTCAACATTGTAGTGTTAATCTGGTTCCTCAAAGCTTAATATATTATAATACAGGTCAATTGTTATTAATTAAAAGCAATATTAATTATACTAAATCAAAGTTTAGTGCAGATTTTAGTTGGTGTAAAGTTGTTAAAAATGTAATTAATAGAATGTTTTAAAAAGTTACTTCGCAAACATCCGCTCTATAAAATAAAATGATGTGTCTTACCTAGTATGAAGAGCACCTCCCGCCCTCCCTCCATCACCTGAGGATGCCTCGTGTAGAGGCGAAAAACATGTCGTATTGTCGTCAGTGGTGTGTCTTTCTTAGTGTAGTGGTGTTGGGAGTAGTGGTGCTGGGATTAGTGGTGACAGGGATAGTGCACGCAATTGAGGGAGGGCGGAAGGTGCTCTTCATACTAGGTAAGACACATCATTTTACTTTATAGAGCGGATGTTTGCGAAGTAACTTTTTAAAACCTTTTTTTGTTTAAAATGTTCTTTGGGCAAATTCGCCCACACAAATCCTTTACAAAATATAGAATAATATGTAAACGTCATTAGCGTGGTAGAGCCACAAATTGCTGAGTTATGGCTGCACGGATAAGTTGACTCAACCGTGAAGTCCTTTACCCGATGAGTTTGCTGACAGCATAACGTAAAGTAGCAGCTTAAGCTGTGTTTCGTTTGGCAAGTTAGGAAACCTAAATCCAGATATACCCGTAACAAAGTAGTTTATTTTACTTCTTAGTGGTGACAATAATTCTTATTTTGATTTTTGATCGAGGATAAATGTTAATGGCTTGGATCATACAGCATCCAAATGGATATATTATAATAAAATACTATCAGGTAGGCTGTGTGCTATTTTGCCATTCTTTGCGTGTATAATAAAAAAGTTTAGAGGTATACCAAACAAAAAGATTTTTACTGAACGTGCCATGCTAAGTTGGATTTGTTATTTGAGATCTTTTTCGAATAAGACTTAGAACTAGAGGGTAAGTATGGTCCTGGTGGTCCAGCTGTAATACTGTAGCGTGACTCTGTCGCGTCTTAATGTTAATAGTATTAAGCTAACTAACCAAGACAAATTTCTTCCTTTTTGCGCATATGAAGAAGCCTAAAGTCGCTCAGCGTGTTATAGAGAGGTATGCTTATTTTAACGTGGTAGAGCCGTGCTGCAGCTATTATAATTGTATAGTAGTAGCACGAATGGGTCGGCTCGACCGGAGAAGGATCACGCTCTCACAGAATACCAGCGTAAAATAGCAGCTTAATGCTGCTGTGTTTCTTATGGTGAGTGTAAAGAACTGGAGACCCTTTTTTCTGGAAAAGAGACATTCCATCTTAGTACTTGCGGCTGACAACGCATCTGCATTTTGATTCGCATACGAGGATAGATGTAGATGTCTATGGGGCACAGGAGCCACTTACCATCAGGTGAACTGTGTGCTCGCTTGTGACCCTTATCCTGTCCGTTAGTCTCACTAAAACTTGAAAATGGCTCGATTAATTTTGATGGAAATTTTTATGTGTACTCCCTGGACGGTTTAGATTTACAAATGGACCCGGTAGGTGGCGCTGTTGTCGAGATCCAGAAATCATTCGTGTGAAGCCGGGGCGGATGGCTAGTGTACAATAAAACTGCTACAATCGTATACTTATGCTTGTATGCTGGGGATGGTAGTGCTGAGATTGACGGCGACGGGTATAGTGCGCACGATTGAGGGAGGGTGGGAGGTCCCCTTAAAACTGGGCAGGACACATAATTTTCTTTCTTTCTTTACGCGGAATTAAGCAAATTAGTTTATAACAACCCCATTATAATGGATTTCCGCTAAGTAACGCCTGATTCTATTAATTATTTTCCTATATGATGACAAGTGACAATCAAGCCTAATATTGTAAAACGCACTGGTCTATTCTAACAAAAGCCAACAACTATTGTAATCGGATGACAAACCAAAAGCTGGCAATATCTTTCACTTCTTTGCTGTACGCATGAATGAATAACGAACCAAACTGTTTGGTTCGAGTGCATGGTATGTTGTGCTACAACCTTATTAAATAAAACTCTTAAAAAAGTACTGGACACGATAAATTTAAATTGCATTTAATGGTAGTTCGAAATTTAAAATATTTGTATTTGTTTCGCTAACTTAAAAGAATTATAGATTATTGTCAGTTTTTTTTTCTGAAATCAATTATCATATAAGCATGTTTTACAATGTAGTGGCGGTGTAAGAATTTTCACTGCCTTGTATCGTCCCGTGGGCGTTGTAAGAGGCGACAGAGGGAAACTGATACAGGAGAAGGGCAGCAGCATCTTCCTGATAACAACTCCAAATAATAAAAAAAACTGCGATTGCTAGCCCGCCTGCCAGGCATGGCAACTATGGAAAAGTCCCCCCCATGAGTCAATCTATGGAAGAGGCCTAGTAGCAGACTATTATAGGCTGTAATGGTATGTTTTTAGTAATTGTATGACTGAGAGTTATGTTACATCGTCATTTAACGCGTGAAGAGGTGCTTAGGTTTGTGTGTATGTTGGATGCAAGGTGCAGTCAGCGTTAAATTGCGGACACTGTTAATAAACAACCAAGCTTAATTTGCAAATTGTGAGCACGTTACTGTGCTACAAGAGAGTGTAGCCGAACGTTACCGACGAAGATACAGAGTCACAACTGAGAGTTAATATCGTTTTCTACGAAATGCTTTACGGGATAGCCCCAGATCTTCTTAATCTTCTCTAAAATTTTAGCAAGGAAGAAAAACTTTTTTTTTCCCTTTAATGAGTATAGAACCTTCATCCACAGCTGACAATTGATAACCTAATACTCAGTATGCTGCACAGATGTGGAACCGTCGCTGATAGATTGGAATATCCACAAGACTATTAAAAAAGTAAAGTTACAGTCTATTTACCTCCCACAAATGGGCACAGTCCTCTTCACATTTTTAGGGCGTTAGAGCAAGGAAGGGTGGATTTGAAAAAAGTTACTATGAATGATACTTTTAAAAGGTTAGATTTTACAAGCATTTATTTAACTTTCAATGTAACTATGTTTGTTCGGGTGGCATATTGCAACTCAATTTTGAAGCAGATATCTTCAATCGATTGACATGAAATTTTGTATACACGTTAAGTTTGGATAACAATGCATGGTTAGCTGTGTGATGTCATTTTGAATCCAACATGGCGGAACACTCAAGATGGCGGACTAGTTATTTTTTTTGTAATTAGCAGAAAGAAGTCCTATCTAGTAAAGGTTATTGCACAATGACTTCTTATCTATCTCAGGAAGAACCGTACTTATATAGACACAAATATAGAATAGAAATTGATCAGACAGGCACAGGTATAAGCAAAGTCGGAGTAAGAGGTTGCCTAACTATAGGTATCGGATTGCCACGTCCTGTAAGGTATCAAGTTCAATGCCGGGTCGTCGTAATATGTTTTCGCTTTATCAGCCAGATGTCGTCGGGTTATTTTATTTTAAAAGTACAAGAGAATTATAAATATAATAATGTGCATAACAGCTTCTGGACAGGAGTAAAAGCAATTGGTCGCTAAACACTAAACTGACTACACTAAACCGAATAAATCGCGTCTTCATAATCAAAAACTCTCAAAAATCATTCCCATTTTAGTCTGGGGCTTATTTGCTCATTTTTACGCAGGTCTTTAACAAACAAATTATTAGCCGTGTTACTAGAATGTCGAAAAAAGCGATTAATTGGATATCGGGTTAGTGATCGTGTAGGCGATGGGCTATTTTGTCCTTTTGGGCTTCCTAGCTTGATTTTCTATGTCTGACGTCATAAGTATGGGGATCTATACATATGTGTCTAGTTGTGAGTTGTCGTTAATGTAATTATTATTGAACGCGTAACACCTTTTTATTTTTTATCACTGAAGTCTTATCCCAAGAAGAGGAGCAAACTATCAAGGTAGGAAGTCGTTCTTAGATTCTTGTTAAGACCAATTGTATCCCTAAATACTTAATTCTAATATTATTTCAAATGATTTGAACTTTAAAAGACAGGTGAACTTTTCTACCTCGCAAATGTTATTAAAAGACGATACTACGAGAAGGTACATAGATGGAAACATATTGTGTTAATATATCCTATTACTAAATAAGCAAATAAATATAAATTTTAACCGCAAATCTATAAAACAAAATTAAAAAAAAACAAGCCATACGTCACTACAAAAATAGACGAGCTCAAGTTTCACGCCTGTCAACTAAAACCAACCTCCACAGTCAAGGTCTGCAAAACTATTCGGACCCTAGTTATAACTCTAGTGACGAATAAAGAGAGTTCTGGATATGCTGGATAGTCGTTGGCATGCTCTGTGGTGTTTTCCTATGACGTGCGGTCAGTTACTATAATTCTGTGGTTACAACCAGTTAGAGACCGGTGTTCGATTGCAGCTGCATTTTTTAGATATTTTCAGTATAATGTTGCTAAGATAATGAGTGACTGGTGTAATTATTTTGCGGTTGAATTAAATAAATATCGATATAAATTTAATTTGAATTTCATGCTAATAAATTATGCTTACGAAAAAATGTTTTTTTTTTTAAACATATTCAAGTCATATACACATTTTTAAATATGGAATAAAGGTGACAAACAAGCGGATAGTTCACTTGATGGTAAGTAGATGCTGTGGCCCATAGACACCTTCACTTTCATCTATCCTTGAACAAGAATAAAATGTTGATGTGTTGTCACCGTTAAAACCCTTGCCTCGGTACCACTATAAAATGTCTCCGGTACTTCACATTCACCACACGAAAGACAGCAATATGTCTTTTACGCAATGATATTACTTTCAAATACACAACAAATAATACAGCTTACTAACCTGCCAAGTATCTTGGAAACGCAGCCGTTGGAGACCTGCAGGATGCGGCTGATGTCGCAGGGTCGGGCGCCGGAGTGCGCCAGCTCGACGATCTTCTGCCGCGTGGAGTCGGGCAGCGGTCTGCCTCCTACAAACACGCCGCCGAGCTGGTTAACACCGCTGTGACCTGTCGCACCACAATCCTGCTTACTCCAATTAATCACGCGTTTATATATTCATATATAATTGACGGTAAATGCAACAGGTTGTGTTACACAGGTCTTTAAATATGACGATAGACTTGTAGCGTAAATTTAATAAAAATTTAAAATGAATCTCATGACTTTTTTATTTAGAAATAGTAAAAGTAAAATAGTATGTACACATAATGATTTCGTATATTTACACGAATAACGTCGACAATTAAAAATAAGTATAATAAGTTAAATTAGGCGCAATAAAAATCGTAAAATTAGTTTTATTCAATAGTATGGATACAGTCGTGATAGGTCAGGGTCTAAGCGCTCGCTGTAAATTTCACAGTACGCGAGCAAACCGGTTCAATCCCCGCCGGCAAGTAAAGTAAGTGCCGATATACCACACTTGTTCAGTGGTGAAGGATAACATCGTGTGGAAACCTGCATGTCTGAGATATAACAAAAAAAATATATCGAACACATGTGAAGTTCATCAACACGCATTGGGGCAGTGCGGCGGACATTTCCTTGCCCTACAAACGCTCTCAGAAATGAGAAGAGGCCAGTGCTCAGCAGTGGGACATATATAGTCTGTAACTATAACTTTAACTATGGATACAGCCAATATCCGTTCCAGAACTGGGCTCTGGCCTCCTGTCATTTCTGAGAGGGTAATGAAGAGTTAGTTTGTTGCGCTCCACGCGTGCCGGACTTCACATATCCGAGATATATTTTATTTTTGAGGCATTTAGGTTTCCTCACTGTGTTTTCCTTTACCATCGAGCATGCGGTAAATCAGCACTTTCACTTAATTTCAATGACCACGGCGGTAATTTAACTCGCGTACTATACAAATTTAGGGCGAGCGCTCAGCTCCTGAGCTACCATAGCTAAGAGATAAACCAGGCCTTGCTAGTTGTGGGGAGGATTTTCAGTAATCGTTAAGATTAGAAGGCAGTTTGGCGATTGCAGCAACTGCACCATTTACAGTCACCGATCTGAGTATTTTATGTTAAAGCACGGTCGCGGAACAGGATTTTTTTTATTGCTTTGCATTTTTGAACTTAATTCCCATTGAAAAATAGTTTTATTTCTCTTGCAAATAAGATAGTTTTAGTACCTTTTGAACAGTATTTGTGATCCGAAAACCGATTTTATTCTCAAGTTCTTAAAGTTTACATTTGTATGAATTGCAATAATTTGAAATTCTTCCTGTTCCACGATCACGCCATACCTCTTACTATCCTGAAGAGACGAGTACTTACTGCACGGTATGATCCATCAGAGAAATGAAGAGGCTTGATTTTGCTTCTTTCTCATTTCTTTGAGCGATTTTTTCATATTAAAATAGGTTAAACATAATATGGTTTTAGAATATGTATTGTAGTAAGCTTATTGTCTGGTGGCAACGTGGGAGAATAAGATATATATATATATATATATATATATATATATATATATATATATATATATATATATATACGGATAAGTACGAGGATGACTCGATGAGTTGTTGTGTATAGTTCATTTATTCCGGGAGTTAGGTAAGGCGGATTGAAGAACAAACTTAACTTTACAGTGGATAAAATGTTATTTCATTTGTCAGTCTACATCATGGTCGATGCTTCAAATGTTAATGAAAGTTTAGTGCAATCGCAAAGAGATTATTTTTTATGTGATATAACTACACTTACTTGTGCTTCTTGACACATTTCGTGATTCTACGTCAACGGTATATGTGACATTAATAGTTGTATCTTTTGATTGCATTGTCTTGCAAAACTTGAATTTTTTACACTTACAAAGAACAGCAAAATTTATTATTAGATGTAAATTTCAACTTCATACCTCTACCCGTTCCTGAGAAAAAGAGTGACAGACGCACAGACGGACGGACTACAAAGGGACACTGTAAGGGATTCGTTTTTTCGTTTTGAGATATGGAACGCTAAAAATAAAGTAATTGCTTGTCGTTAATGTTGATTTAGACAAATGTTACCATGATTTAGTGAATCGAAACGAATTACCTCGGATTCCATCTGTGTTGTTATTCCCCCTTTGCCTCATTCTATTATCAAGCAACAGTTATCTAACGCTGTGTTGTCAAAGATAGGTACGTGGACGAACGCAAAATTTAGTCTAACCACTATAATCAAAATAATTTATGAATTGCGTCTTTTTTCAACATGAACTAAGCAATCGGTACCTTCCAAAAGGAAGGCCACACCGGCACCAATAAAATTTTTAACAGCAATATTAAGCACTGTTTATCACGTACTCGATGGTGAAACAAAATGTCACGAGGAAGCCTGCACCTCCAATCTGCGAAATAAAATAATTCCGAGGACACACACTAAAGCACCGCGGTGGACTCCCTCCTACATTACACTCTCAGAAATAAGAGGGGATCTGCGCCTAAAATCTAAATATACACCCGACAAATATATATCCCATGTTTGTTCCATACATTGAGTGTATATTTACATTTTGATGAAGCTAACCAAAATCGAAAAAAAAGCAAAGAATATAGCATTAAAATACAGGGTTACTTCGAAATAACCAAATTTGCCGAGAAGTTCAGAATAAGTAATATAAGTGAAAAAAAAATTAAAAAGATTCTCAAATATTCTGTCCTTTTTATCTTTTAAATTCAGAATGCGTGTTCATTATTTTAACTGATTTTACTGCGCACGCACACATTCGTAAGGGTCGAACAGAGTAGACAAAAAAAAATGTTGCCCATAAATAACATTCAATTTGGGATAATTTCAAATGAAAGTAGAAGCCTTATTTACTTGTATTTTCAAAAACTGCAATAACTGTATATCCTTATTTATATATTTGAACCAAGTGGAACGCGGGAAGTAAAGTTACACAACCTTTACTTCCCGCAGAAGCATTTTCCATCCGGATTTTATTTCTGTCGGAAGGATTTTTTATTTTTTGGTTTTTGGCCATTTTGACCCCCTAGAAGTGTAATGAGAACTTTTTGCTCCTATTCAACCATGACTCCATGACATCCTCAACATGATAAGCTATTCAAACTGACAATGCCTAAAGTTCGAGCCACCCACCCCCCATTTTTTGGTTTTTGACCATTTTGACACCCTAGGAGTGTAATGAGAACTCTTCCAATTACTTCCAAATTAAGTTTAAAATTTGGCTACTCTTTGAAAAATAACCCTGTATAATAGGCGACTTTTTTGTAAAATATTAACTTTCAAACGTGAGTCTCTGGTAACCTTTTGAACACATTTTAATAAAGTTGTTGTAAAGTAAAGTTGCAGCCTATTTACGTCCCACTGCTGGGCACAGGTCTCCTCTCATTTGTGAGAGGGTTTTAGGCACAAGGAAATGTCCGCCGCGCTGCCCCAATGCGCGTTGGCGAACTTCACGTGTCTTCGAAATATTTTTTATCTTATTTCTCAGACATGCAGGTTTCCTCACGATGTTTTCCTTCACCGCCGAGCACGTGGTAAATCAGCACTTAAAATGGCAATTAACAATTTCATTGGTGCCGGCGGGGATCGAACCCGGGTTGCTCGAGTACTGTGAAGCTTACAGCGAGCGCTAACCATCTGAGCTACCACGGGTCAGATGGTTAGCGCTTGCTCATTTTAATGTTTACTAATATTACAGAAATGGTGGTCACCATTACCTTTACCTTTGTGCGCCAGATCGTCCATGCGGTCCAGAAGGTTGGCGTCTGGTGGCCATGGGCTGATCGGCGTCAGCTGCTGCGCTGGCAGCATCGTGTACACCCCGTATTCTTCTATTGTGGTAACCTTAGCGGTACAGAGAAATTAATAGTTGATACTATTTTATTTCATGTATTATGTTTTGGCATTCAGCCAAAAAGATTCAACGACAAAATACATTGTTTTATTAAATAAATATGCCGATAAAACTCTTAACATGTTAAAAGGTCATATTTATGTCTTTAAAGGAATATATTAAGCCGACAACAAGAATTATTTTAGCTTAATGCTAAAAGATGTACGCCTTTTTTCATACAGGTGAATTTTTTTTTATAGAATAAGGTTGACAAGCGAGCATACAGCCCACTTGATGGTAAGTGGATACTGTGGCTTATAGACATCTACATCTATCCTCGATTAAGATTCCAAATGCAAATGCGTTGTCACCCCTGAGGACTAATATAAAAGGCCTCATTTCCAGTAAAAAGGGTCTCCGGTTCTCAACACTCACCATACGAAACACAGCAGCATCAAGCTGCTATTTTACGCTGGTATTCTGTGAGAGCGTGGTCCTTCCCCGGACGAGCCGACCCATTCGTGCTACAAGCATGCAAGCAGCATGGCTTTACCACGTATGATACATATTGTGTAAGGTTCAATAAATCATAATATATAAAAATTACGTGTCACATTGTTTGTCCGCGATGTACTCCTAAACTACTGAATTGATTTCAATGAAAATTTGCACACTCTGTGCAGTTTGGTCCAACTTGAGAGATAGGATCAATGACGTATTATATAAGTTTACACATTGGATAGGATAGTTTTTATCCTGATAAGTGACAATCAATATTTTTTAATACGAATTTAAGGATTTTTTATATTATGAAGGATCTACGAAAAGGGCAGAACAACGTCTGCCTGGCCAGCTAGTAATGAATAAATATAAGATTCGACTCTATGACGTCAAAATAAAAAATAACTTTAGGTTTTTCTTAACTATTATTTCATCGCTTTAATTATTCACGTAACCTCGTCATTTAATTCAGGAAATTGCGTCATTTTTACGTCTAAATCATTGTTCGATAATACTCGAGCATTATTGGTCTGCGTGGTTAGGTTATTTTAGTTACTTTTGCTGACAAAATACATTAAAATATGAAGTTTACGACTGCATGACCACTTGATGGTACTGCCTGTCGCCGGTCTTAATATTTTAGGTCTGGCGTAAACGAGATGTTTTTACTGCTAGCTATCGAAAGCTATATGATTTTTCTACTATTTCATACAATATCAGCTGCATTGTGTGCTCATCAGGTTGACTGTGTGCTCCTTTGTCATCCTTATTCTATAAAAAAAAAGAAATAGCCTCCATTGGAGTGATGGATATTCTTACACTGTTACCACATAGAAATTAGAATAATTTGATTTTTGACATTTATGTTTTTATAAATTTTATTTTATGGAAAAATCTGGATATATTTTTGAAAGTAGGTTTACTTTACTACGACATTGGGTACATTATAATATGAAAGAGGTATAATATAATATTTGGAGGTAGGTTTATTATAATATTTATTAAGAAATTTATAGATGATATACGCCTGGGAATGATGTGATCACTACCAGGCTATTTCTAATTTGTTTTGTGTAGTTAATTGTAAAACTCAACATACATAAATTGTTCTTTTAAAAAAATAAAAGTCGCGCTGGTTTTCTTGCTGGTTCTCTGCACTATTTTCCGAACCAGTGGTAAATTAAACATAAGAATGTATGATCTAAGTTTCTATTCTATTCTATTAGGAAGCATAGCTTTTGAATACACTGCTAGATAATATATATTGCTTGTATCCACTCTAGAAAGGTTGACAATGATGAGCGTAAAATCATACTTTGAGCTGGTTACACAGTATTCCATTACCAAACTTTACGGACTGAAGAAGTAATTGAAAATTAAAGAAGTGTCATCTGCAAATAATACTGTATAATGGTTATCACCTACTATGTAAGGTAAGGCATTAATGTATACAAGAACCAGAAAGGGGCCGAGAATTGAGACTTGAGGCACGACCATTTGTACCATCGACCCGGAAAAGCTCATATTGTTAATGACAACTTTTTGCGTTCTCTTACTTAAATATGAAATAATTAATTTAAGAGCATCACTTCTTACACCGTAGTGTTGAAGTTTCCTGATTAATATCTCATGGTGAACACAATCGAAGGCCTTGGATAGGTCACAAAATATACCCGAAGCATCCTGTGAATTCTCCCATGCATTAAAGATATATTTAATCAGCTCAACACCGGCATCATTTGTCGAGCGACCCCTTGTGAAACCAAATTGATTTTTATGAAGTAAATTATTTATATTAAAAAATTTAACATTTGATCAAGAACAATTTTTTCAAAAATCTTATTAAGCGTTGGTAGTACATAAATAGGTCTAAAATTGGCGGGGTCTAATGTACTACCAGATTTAAATAAAGGTATTACTTTACTATGCTTCATTAAATCAGGAAACACACCAGATTCGATACTAGTATTAAAAATAATAGCTAAATGAGGCGTGATTGTATCTATTATAGACGCAATAACTTTAACGGAAATCCCCCACAGATCCGCAGTTTTCTTAACATCAATAGTTTTAAAATATTTTACAATATCTTTTGATGACACTTTATGAAATGTAAAATTCTTTGTACACGCATTTAAATTTTGTTTAAGTAATGATTCGGCGACGGTAGGAGAAGAATTTAGTGACTTAGTGGTCAAGATCGGAATATCAGTAAAATATTTCTCAAAAACCATTTCTACGTCCTGATCTGATACAGTTAATTTGTTGTTAACACTTAACTGGTAATTTGAATTGCGAGAGTTGATCTTACCAGTTTCGCTATTAATTAGACTCCATGTCATTTTAATTTTATTGGAAGCCGTCTTAATTTTGTTGCTCAAATGCAAAGACTTGGCTATGGAGCACACTCTTTTAAATGTTTTTGAATATTCTTTTACATATTCCCTAAATTCGACCATTATATGACCTTTCATGGTAAAGATCATATAACCTATGCCTGCTCTTATGGACTCCTACTGTCGCCCATTCATTGAATGACTTCCGACTGTTCAAGGAGAATGTTTTAGAAGTAAAAGTATTATTAAATTCATTGCAAATAAGCTTTAATAATGTTCCATACAAAAAATTAGGATCATTTTGGTATGAAAGTGATGGAAGTTTTTTCACTATGTTACTTCTAAATTTCTCCAAGTGACGTGCATTTACTGGAACAGACACAACTTTCTCAGCTACTTGCTTTTTGTGAACATAAGGTAACGAAAAAGACACTGCAAAGACAAGTAAATCAAGAAGTCGACCATAGCATCATTCGTTAATAGAGCTCCGTTCTACCCTGTGTAACCGTGTAGTGGCGATGTAGGAATATCCACTATCCCGTATTATCGCGTGGTTGTCGTAAGAGGCGACAGAGGTAAACCAAACACGAGATGGGCAGCAGCATCTTCCTGATAACAGCTGAATAAAAATAACAAGCTTCGGTTGGCAACCTGCTTGCCAATCGTGGCAACTGTGGCAAAATCAAATAAATTAAGGCCTATGTTCAGCAGTGTAATGGTAGTAGTTTTACTCTTTGAGTACAGAATACTAAAAATATTAATAAAAAATAAGAAAAAGTTAACTGAATGTTTATTATTAATAAGAATATAGTTTTGCAATAGTATTTGTGTAAAAGTAGCTTTTTGGAAAAATTATGAACAATATTTTAAATTTATAAAAAAAAGTATTACACATTCATTATCGTAACGTAAGCATTTGCAAAATTTTCTCCTAGAAAAATATCAATTTAAACAGTTTTAAGATTTAAATTTTATAACACTTCATCCAAGTGTTTGTCAAACACTGAGCGTTGTTGAACTCAACGCTCTTGAACAACTCTCGAACATGAGCACATTTTGAGAAAAAGTTTCACCACTTTCGTCTTTTTCGTAACAACTTTCGAGATTTGACAAAGTTTGCAATAAAAAGATATATCTTAAAAACAGTGTTTTATTTTATATAACAAGTGGTAAAATTAGAGATTTAGATTATAGGATTTTTGTGGTATTTTTACGACGATTTTACAGCAATATAGGGCGAATTAATTTTAGAGTCGTGGCACAATTTCCGAGCAACCCCCGTTCGATCCCCGAGTTTTCGTGGTGAAGTAAAAAAATCGTGAGAAAACCTGCATATCTGAAGAATATTTTCAAAGGTGCGAAGTTTACCAACATGCTTTGGAGAGCCAAGTTGTGGCAATATTACGCTTGTAGCACGAATAGACATAAAATAGTACGTTGATGCTGCTGTACTTCATATGGCGAGTGACCGAAAACCTTTTTTTACTGCCAACGAGGCATTCCGTCTTAATATTTAGGGTTTGACAACGCATCTGCATTTTGGTTCTTAATCGAGGCTAGTTGTAGATGTCAATGGGCCGCAGCGTCAGGCAGACTGTGTGCTCGTTTCACCCTTATCCTATAATAAATGCTTCTGAGAAATGAGAGAAGGCCTTTTGCCAGTGTGTGACGTGCATATGCTGTAACTTAATAAGCTATTATTTAACATTATAATCTTAACGTTTCGCGACGTAAGAGAATCTATTAGAAAGAAAGAAATAATTTCATCACACTATTATTGTGAATTTACTTTATAACAAATTAAATCAAGTTTTTCACTCATTTTACGCTAGTTCTTTTTTATTAATTTAATGTTGACAAACGAACACAGTCCACCTGATGGTAAATGCATGCTGTGGCCCATAGACACAAATATATACGATTAAGAATGTTTAATCCAAATTTTGTGTCGTGGGTAGTGTTGCCATCCGTACTATAATATATAGTATCGTACTATATTTCAGTCAATTGTTCTATATATTATAGAAAAATAATATAGTACGAGAAATACTATATTTTTATACCCAATTCATCTGTCGCGCTTTTTCATATTAACTGTGACTGAATTTCCCAAAAGTACTATATTTTTGCAACTTTTTTGG